AGGATTGAATCATTGAATGAATCATTGAATCCTAGATTGAATCATTGAATCATAGAGTGAATCAATGCATCCTAGATTGAATCATTGAATCCTAGATTGAATCCTAGATTGAATCATTGAATCCTAGATTGAATCATTGAATCATAGAGTGAATCATTGAATCCTAGATTGAATCATTGAATCAAAGATTGAATCATGGAGTGAATCATAGATTGAATCCTATATTAAATCAGTGAATCATAAGAATAATCACGAGTGGTTATAAATAGTGGACCAACTTTAAATAATTTCATTCAGCGTTTTGACACAGAGCAGTTAACATGTCTCATTCTTGCACAGTTTGTAACAAATCATTCTCAACTTCAAGTAACCGTTCACGGCACCAAAATATAGCTCACGGACCTGACACTCTATCCCAATCCAGTATTGTTGTCAATCGGTCCAGTGTTATGCTGCATCCTTTCACATGTATCGTAGCTGGGTGCACCCAAAGCGGCAAGACTGTATGGGTAAAATCTCTCTTGGAGAATGCACAGAAAACTATAAGTCCACCTCCTCAACGTATCATTTGGTGTTATGGTCAATGGCAACCCTCCTATGTTGATATGAGAACGATGCCAGGAATCGAATTCAATCAAGGCATCCCCGAAGACATCGACAACGCAGATTACTTGGACGTATCGCGACGGAATTTGATTGTATTGGATGATCTCATGGCTCAATCTGGCAAAGATAAACATATTTCTGATCTTTTTACAAAAGGAAGTCATCATCGAAATTTGTCTATCATCTATATTGTCCAAAATATATTTCATCAGGGCAAAGAAATGAGAAATATTAGTCTAAACGCGCATTATATCGTATTGTTCAAGTCACCAAGAGATAAACAACAAATTTCTATGCTTGCAAGGCAAATAAATCCCGGCAAAGTACAAGAGTTTATGAGGAGTTATGAAGATGCTACGAGCCGGCCTCACGGGTATTTGATGTTGGATTTAAAGCCGACAACGAGTGACCAAGATCGACTCAAGACAAACATGCTTCCCGGCGAGATTGCAAAGTTTATACAAAAACAGTCGTATGGTCAACCACCGCTTGTAAATGCCATGTATGATGCCGAGCAGCGAATGAAAGAAGTCATGGATGCACCACAGATTAGCGCAGTGGAAAAAAGCAAATTATACTCTGATCAACTAAATCGGTTTCTCACATTCAAAAATAAGATGGATGTTCCGACTCAAGCTCCTGTTCTGACAACTCCACTAGTGCCTGCAGAGATACCATCACAAGCGCCTCCTACGCATGTAATAGCGGAAATACCAACACCAGTGCCTGCGACTCCTAAACCTAATTTCCTTACACCACCACCACCAACAACAGAAGAAGAACGGCCAAAACTCAAGCACAACTTTTTCCACAATTGGGTAGACTCTACAGATTGGAGGCCCCAAGATTTGGCAATGATGACCCCTGAACAAAGAGAAGGTTACGAACAAAGATTACTTTGCGAGAGGCCGAAATATATTCCAATGAAGGATGAAGACGTTGCAAAGTTATCCCCAGAAGATAGACAAGAATATGAGAACTCTTTAAAAATAACAAAAACACCTAGACGTTACGCTCTTAGAAGTAGACCTTACTAAATTTTGTAAAACATTTTGAAGAAATAAATGTATTCTAAAACTGAAATATTGTGCAAATTTTTGCCCGCAAAGCCCGCTCTTTCCGCCCGCGCGAAAAGATCCGTGTACAAATATGTTGTACTTTAATATATGCATGCACCCGCAAAGCCACGCGCCTGATTTTAAGGTATACACCGGCGTTAAAAATAATCCCTATCTATCCATCGGAATACACTTAGTTATGCAAATTCGTATTACCTTAATCCCCTTAATTACTTACACGCCTCCTAATGACTTAGCAACGCATAACAACGCAGCAAAGTTTAAAACATGATTATTGATACAAATAATAGAGAAAAATATTACAACTAAGACTGTTAAATTGTTCTACAGGTTTTTTCCTTGACCGTATATATATATATATGTATGTAGGTTTGCTAAATAATGTTGAACAACATGCAAATAGCGATCATAAAAACGGCTTTGGCAACCCGGGATTAGCAACTGCTTATTTCTGTTGCGATATTTTTTATTTCCGTTTGGAAACTTGCGTGTTGAAAATAAGAGAGAGACTCACAACGTTGCTACATGGTTGTAAGGCAAAAATTTTTCTACCGTACCGGGTTCGAACCGGTGACCTAAGGAATACTGATTTGGTAATAACTACAGTCCTTTGCTCTACCAACTGAGCTAACGGTAGGTTTTAAAAACTAACTTCTATTTCATACTTTTATACATGCAAACTATGAGAAACCTCTTGTCGTTTTATTACAAATTTGTCAGAAACTAGTTGTGATGCTAATTGATCACCTGCCACATTTGGCCCAGGCTTGCCTGCGTTAATTGGTCGCGCTACCTGTCACAGTTGGCCCAGGCCTGTCCGCGTTAATTGGTCGCGCTACCTGTCACAGCTGGCCCAGGCCTGCCCGCGTTGCGTCATAGATTTTGCATACTAATTACTTTCGGAGCAACGTGACGTCATTGGCGGCATCCCTTTGGTCTCCAGAGTGGGGTCTATCACTACTTATCACAATTATATAAAGTTGTTTTAGTTGATCTTGATCGAATGTTGTTACTTTTATTAATAGCCTGTTCATGCTGAAGGCTTGTAGGAAGAACCACTTGAAAGGTTAGAATTTATACTTACAGTACAATACTGTAATTTGGTATTAATTGTTGGACACTTATTATTAGGAGGGCTGAAAACTAGGGGATGGTGCAAGCCCCACTAGCCCTCTGTTGTGTTGCCCCTGTTATCCAATACTACAATGCCCATGTGTTATTTGTTTGACCAGCAAAACAATCTGTGTTAGGCTGAATGATAGTCTGGCATTAGGCTGTTAGAGAGTGCGCACATATGTCAAAGAAACATCGGGTAATAAGTGACCATTAGATTCAGTGGCCAGCTGGCCATACTCTGAAATAAATTAGCGTTGGTACAGGTTGGTCAGAACACATGATCACAGATCAACATTGATTACGAGTATAATCAATTGGCACAAACAAGTAAGAAAAGGTAAGAAAACTATTACAACTGACCACATTAAAAAATGAGTGTGTAGATAAGGGGTGGACCATTAGATATCCTGGGAGGGGGGGAGGGAAATTTTCCCTGTAACAATTTTTTTTTTAGTGCAAAGCTTTGTCGGAATTTTTTTCGGAGTAGAAGCTGCGCAGGGATTTTTTTTGAAAGGCTTTACCTACCTTTTTTCCTTGTCTACCGACAGAGAAAAATGGCAGCAATGTAGCCCCCAAGCAACTATATTGGCACGAAATTTCTGTATTGAGCAATCATATGAAAGTTTAGTATAGTATAAAAAATACGAGGTGTCAGTTTCATAGAAATTGTCAAGCATAAGTACAAGAAATACCATAACATTCTTTCTTGTGTGGAAATTAGTTAATTCCAGAACGATGAAGGTATTATTTTTTCATTCAATTTCATATTTCAAAAAAAAAGTCTGGTACACCCCTGTTACAGTATTCATTAGTTTGTTTAATATTAATGATAGTGTACACATATGCAGACTCGTAACTAGGATTTTAGATTTACCGAGTCGAGTCGGGGCATGCTCCCCCAGAAAATGTTTGATTTTCTAAGGCTTAGAAATGCTGTTTCCTGCATTTTGGGAGCAATTTTAACAAAAAAAAACAGTTACGAGAAGCAGTGACACAATGACTAATTTCATTGTCTTCCTGCATTCTGGGAGCAGTTTTACAGAAAAAATCAATATCATAACAGTGACACAATGACTAGTGTGTCTCACAATTGTACTACAAGTATCCAATCATAAGAATTCAAGTACTCTTGGTCCAACACAATCAGGTGTGATGCATATTAAAATTGATGGGCAGGTACCACAGATGACCCCCCAAATCAGATCATGCTGGATCCGTTCCTGTCACAAATTGAATAAATTCTTCCTGTTTTGTATTTTTTCACAAAAAATCTCATAGCTAGTTACGGGTCTGATATGCTCTGTATATAAACTCGTTTTCAGGGAGGTGAATAGGGGTATAGAAACCCATCGATCCACCCAAATTTGAAGTAAAATATGTGATCCGACAATGGTCTTGTCTAAATTTGAATGCGCTTAAAGCTTTACAATGAAGTCACAATACAGGATCCAAACTAAATTGCAAACAAAATATTAAATAAATCCGCAATCCACTGTATTAATTAACAAGATCCGAAATCCGTGTAAAATATTTGCTAGATCCAATATCCGAACAATTTTTTCTGTGAAATCCGACGATCCGAAAACCTATTCACTCCCCCCTTTCAATCTATAATTTAATTGACGTTTAATATTAAATGTATCACAAGTACTGTAAGGTTATAAATATCTCAAAATGAGTCATAGTGTTAGCTACTAAACTGCCCGCTCTCAATAAGTTTCACTTGGATTTCTCATGAAGTTGCATGAATTTTTTTTTCTTTCCCCAACTGCTTGCAGGATTTTTTTTCCTAGTCCGACTCCTTGTATGAATTTGTTTGGATCTGACACCCCCCCTCCCCCCCTCCCAGGATATCTAATGGTCCACCCCTAAAGAGGGTCTGTTGAGTAACTGCAGTACAAGATTTTTTGCTAGGCCTTATTATTGTTATTTTGTAGTCATATTGAGATAGAGGAGACTGGTGGAGAGGCAAGTACATCAACAGATGCAATGTATGCATCTTGGTTACTTGATGACACCACTGAATATACATGTGTTAGCAGTGGATCAGAGACAGAAGAGAAAATTATTGAAGAGCCAGCTGCTGCAGTTGAAGATAAGAAAAAGAGCCTTTAACGTACCAGCTAAATCGAGAACTGTCTGGAAAGAAGGTTGAGTAAGACAAGTCTGGGGACTTGTCTTACTCAACCTTCTTTCCAGACAGTTCTCGATTTAGTTGGTACATTAAAGCAAGTTAAATCTTTGGATGACATTCAGATGATTGCAAATGAAACTGCTCGATGGTTCCTTTTAGGAAGGGTTTGTTCATCTTTGGAACGTTTGAAAGATGGTTTAAATGTTCTTGATGTGCTTGGAGCAGTTTTTGAGAATCCTGATATATTTCGCCCTGTATTTTGTTATGTTTCTCAACCATTGACAGTTGATCTTCTCTCTTCTCTGTTTACAAATACTACTCGGGGTGAATTGGGATCAAATGCCCATGCCAAAGAGTCTTTAATACTTTTCTTCTGGAATGACTACCTCCAGGATGTCGAGGAACATACTGTTGATGTGAGTTTTAGAGATGTTTTTTTTTCACTGGATGCAAGGATGTCCCTCCTCTTGGTTTAGACATGTCTTTAGCTTTCTTACACAAGCCTGAAGGCAATGGTTTGTTGTCTAAATTTCCGAAGGCAAATACATGTTCATGCAAATTGTCTCTTCCAACTGTTCACACAAGCTATGACGAATTTAAAGATGCTATTACTTTCGCTCTTTTAAATACTAAAGGTTTTGATGAACCATGATTGAATTATTTCATTATACTAAATTATGTAACATACTCCACATTCCATATCGAGTTGTTAATATTATTTATTGGTTGTATTTGCATTCCTGTCAAAATTATTGTAAACATTTTAGCAAGATAAGACACAAGGCATGATGGTGCAACTCCACGCAGGACTGGTGGTCAAAAATGTTTTGTTAAAGTTATAAGTGCATCGTATTCTTTAAGGATGTCTTAATTATATAATAATATCCTTATAAAACAAGGTGACCACTTGAAGGTGTACTTTAAAATAAGGTTTTTGTGACTAATTGTGTGTAGAGACTGCTGCAGGCAATTTGCTAATTAGAAGAGGAATTATCTCCATGTTCTGAAAAATGAAAAATAACCTGACTGCACATCCTTAACCTGACTGCGTGTCGCTTTTTTTGTAACTTTTAATTCCTGTGATTTTTAAAGAATGGAAAATGATATGTGTTGTAAGAAATCTATTGTTGTATTCTAGTAAAACACGGATGGTACACTCTAAATTCTGAAGTGTTCAGTGAACACCAAATAGGTGTAAATTTACACTATTTCGGTGTAAATTGGTAAATTACACCTCGGAAGTGTAAAATTACACTTCGAGGTGTATTATTACACTGATATTGTGTTACCCCAACACTTATTTGGTGTAAAGTTGTATCTTAGTCTTTTAACACTAAATCGGTGTAAATTTACACCAGAAGTCGGTAACTTAACACTATTTAAGTGTATTAAAACACTACTTTGGTGTAAAGATGAGTATGACAATTTTGTCCTTAAATGGAACTTCAGCCTGCACAAAAATTGTTGTCACCGATATTAATTACAGGTAATGTCAACCAGCTTTTGATGAAATCTTATATTTTAAAAATATCGACAAATGGTCCACCATGAGTGGAAAATATCATGGCATATCAGTTACAACCTCAAGCTCTGAATATATACAAATAGCAGAATACAGTAATATAGTATATACATCCTAATTCTCACTATCAGCTAAATCGTATCGCATTCGAATGTACTGCGGGCCGAGAATAAAATTTGCAGCCGTATATATTCAGTTCACTGGATTTACATGATGACTCCAGTTATAGATTGAGCGCTCCGAACCGCCCCTTAATATAGCAGAGGTCCACCCATGCATATTTCGAAGCGTGATGTT